GTCCTTGTTGTGTTTGTGCAGCCCTCCGTTTAGCCTTCTGGCGATTCCCAGACATTATGGGTAAAGTAGTGTTCGCAAGGCTGTTGTCCCTCCCCCGGTGGACCTAGTTTAAAGTGCGTCTAATGAGGTTTGCGAGTCTGTGAGCAAAAAGGTGTTTTCCTACTTGTGTGAGATGCACCCCATCCCTTGCCAGTAGGCCATCCTCCTGGAAAAGCAGGCCATGGTCGAGGAAGCCAAAGCGTTCCTCCTGACACCATTTTCTAAGCCAGTCATTGACCTGTACTATTTTTCTGGCTCTTGTGGGTCCGTGTCTTACAACAGGGAGGAGGGATGAAAAGACCACCTGCACATTACATTCTCTTAGCTTTGCTCCTAGAGCTCGAAAATCATTTGTGATGTTTTGAAAAGTATACCTAGCAGTATCATTGGTTCCCACATGAATCAAAATGAGGGGAGGACGGTGATGGGGCTTGAGGAGCCTGGTGAGCCTCTGAGTGATATGGTGTATTTTTGCCCCGGGTAGGCAGCATATTTCTCGAGCCATCCCATCCGGTCTGGAAATGACGGCTTCCGTTCCTCTAAGAAGGGAGTCGCCCACTACCAAGACCTGTGGGAGTTGGAGTCCAAAACACCTGGAGGGCTGAAGTTTGCCCGTGCCTGCCTTACACAGACTAGAAAGGATAAAAAAGGATTGGTGGTTCAGGCTGATGAATCAAGCTGATTATTTTTTTTTCTTTTTGGTCACCTCACTATTCTGTCCCCTTGTTCCCACCTTGCTCTTCCTATCCCCACCTCCATCCCTGCATCCCAGGTGGAAAGGGCAGGGCTTTTGGATGCTGCACAAAAGCCAGGATTTAGTTGCCTGGAGACGGGCTGGAATGTGTTGCAAGCTGGCAACTGGGCTTGGATTCTCCCCTTGATCAGCACCGCGCGGCACCATAAGCTGCAAGGATAGCAGGACATGAATAGCCAGCCGGGTTGCAAAAGAGGCAGCCGCTCAGTCCCCTTTTCACTCGCCTCCCTTCTCCACAGTGGGATGGACGGTTTTGCTAAAGGGCTATATTGCACTGCAGCCTATCCAGCCAGTTTTGACTCATGCATTTTATTGGGAAATTTTAATTTCTGTTTTACCCATGTATATTTCTTATCTATATAAATAAAAATGTAATGTTTGGTTGTGTGATTAACATAACTCAAAAAACCACTGGATGAATTGACACCAAATTTGGACACAATATACCTATCAGACCAACGACTGACCATCATTCATAAAAACACGGGAAAACACAGCAGAAGAGACTTTAAAAGCCAGTAAAAATAATATTGGAAAATAGTAAAAAAAAAATGAGCCCATGTTTTTCAAGTACTATACAGAATCTTTGTTGAACCCCCAGCAGCACAATGGATTAAACCGCTGAGCTGCTGAACTTCTGATCGAAATGTCACAGGTTCAAATCTGGGGAGTGGTGTGAGCTTCTTCTGTCAGCCCCAGCTTTCTAACCTAGCAGTTCAAAAAAATGCAAATGTGAGTAGATCAATAGGTACTGCTTCTGCAGGAACGTAATAGTGCTCCATGTAATCATGTTGGCCACATGACCTTGGAGGTGTCTACAGACAACGCCGGCTCTTTGGCTTAGAAATGGAGATGAGCACCATCCGCCAGACTTCATGTCAAGAGAAACCTTTACTTTTACTTTACCCCACCTCAAGCAACAAGGCTAGACAGGTAATAAATAAATTCTTACACTATGTAACACCTTTTTTGTTCCTGGGTTACAAATGTAATTTCCTAATTGGGTCTATCATAAAAACATGGAAACAAAATATTAAACTGCAAACTGCAAAACTTTGGGAGGGACATCCTGCAGCACACTTTGCTCTAGCTTCTAAATAAATATCTCCAATTCAGCATAGTTTGTAGCAGCCACAAAAACAATGACTTCTTTGGAGGCTTTGAAACAGAGGCTGGATGGCCATCTATTGGGGTGCTTTGAATGCAGTTTTCCTGCTTCTTGGCAGGGGGTTGGACTGGATGGCCCACAAAGTCTCTATGATTTTATGATTCCCAGAAGTATTTGTCTGGCTACTGCTAAGAGACAAAACAAAATAGACCATTGGCCCAATACAGCCAGGCTCTTCCAGTCTTCTTAAAACCAGTGTTTCCTTGAGACCATCTCTGGCTTCGATATCAAAACAAAACCTGCCTGGAGATAAAAGACTGTTGATTCTTGTGATTGCAGAGGTTGGACCACGATCCCTTTCAACTTTATGGTTCTACCTAAAAATCACTGGAAAGAGCAATGCTAGGATGCAACCCCAGAACTCAAAACTTCTGTCAGTTGTATGTAAGTCGCTGGTAGGACAAAATCACAAGTTTGCTTCCTCCGGCAAAAGCCCGGCAAACAAAGAACAACATGCCCATAGGGTCCCTTAATTGGAACCTTTTGAGAAGAAGAAAAACAGCAATTCATCTGCCGTCTCATTCATGAGCCCATGGAATAGCCAGCATTTCGGAGGAATGGGTCAACTGGAGATTAAGATATTAGAAGGCGCTTCATCTATGTTTCCTACAGCAGGGCCTTCTGAATGGCCCTTTGAGCCACAAATTGGCCTCAGCTCAGAATTCCAATAATCTGTGTGTGATTGCTTCAGCGAGGGCCGGGAAAGAGAGCCATGCAATGACATGGGGGGCATCCAATTTCATGGGTCAGGCTACTGATTTGAAATCAGCTGTAGTTTCATATGGTCTTTTCACCTTCTATGCCAAAGAGTGCTGGTCTCTCGCCAAACTACAACTCCCAGGATTCCACAGCATTGAGCCATAGTAGTTAAAGTGGTATCAAACTGCACTAATTCTACAATGTAGATACAGCCAAGGGTAGGTTTTACCTGTTGTGGCAACTCATGGTCATCCCCATGGAGCCCCTCCCATATCACATCATATCATATCATCATAAGACACATTCAGCAACTATTTTTAAAAAGCCCAGTAGCAACTAAAATACAACATGCAAGCATCATAGTTTTTGGGTAATTTCTCTGACCAAAGGGCATGAGCATTCAAAAGTTTAAAAAGTAAATTAGAATAGTGTTTTAGAATTGTAAGGGTTTGAATCCAGGACCCCTGTGGATACCAAAATCTCACTAGGGTTTTAACTTCTTAACATACATTTGGCCCGCCCTCTGTATCTGGTTTTACTATGCTATTTTATATTGTTGATTTTGTTATTTCATATTTTGTTATGATGTATTTTGTTATTGTGTGTTTATTATGTTGTATTATTTTGGGTTTGGCCTCATGTTACCCGCCCCGAGTCCCCTTTGGGGAGATGGTGGCAAGTTATAAATAAAGTGTATTATTATTATTATTATTATTATTATTATTATTATTATTATTTTATTATTATTATTACTAGCTACGGTGATCCAGGCTACGGTCATCTCAAGACTGGACTACTGTAACGCCCTCTACATTGGCCTTCCTCTGTCAGTAATCCGGAAGCTCAAGTTGGTACAAAATGCAGCTGCTTGGCTTCCTGCAGGAATTCCGATGAGATGCCACATAACACCAATCTTACTACAGCTGCATTGGTTACCAATTGAGCACCGGATCACTTTCAAAGTGACGGTACTCACCTTTAAGGCCTTGCATGGTCTGGGGCCAATGTACCAGAGGGACCGCCTCACCCCCTACCAACCCCAGAGATCCCTCCGTTCTGAGGACCAAGATCTATTGGAAATTCCCAGTGTCAAGACCTTGCATCTAACAGCAACGAGATGCAGAGCCTTTACAGCAGTGGCACCATCACTCTGGAATACTCTGCCACCTGAAGTCCGTGCCTTGCGGGACTTATCAGCTTTCCGCAGGGCATGTAAGACATATCTGTTTCGACAGGCCTTTGATCTTTGATATTGCTGTTTTTAAATTGTTTTTAAATTGTGTTAGATTTTAGCCATTCTTGTAAGCTGCTCCGAGCCCCAGGGGAGTGGCGGCATATAAGTCCGAATAATAAATAAATAAATCATCATCATCAGTAACAGATTAGAGTTAACTGGATGAAACTAAAAGTCCAGGTGGACAGACTAATGAGCAGTTAGATAGGAGATTTACGTTCCATCAACATAGAGCTTCTCAGGAGGGTTTACAAAGGTCAAGAAGTCCTTATCCGTTTCCCAGGGGAGAAGGCATGATTTTCTCTCTATATTAGTAAGCCCAGCAGATGGTGTTTGTACAGAACCACTGTCAAGTCAAGGGATTTCTAGTTTCATGTTCCATGTTTCCTTTTGTTTATATCTCATGATTCCAAAGTTTGAGGACTGTTCCTGAATCTCATGTTTTGGATTTATTCTGCTTTGGTATTCCTGGTTTTTGATGCTACTCCTGTACTATGATTATTGTGGATTGTTCTTGAAATTTGGACTTTAATTTTTAATACTTTTCGCTGAATTGTTTTTTATATATATTCTTCAATAAACTGCTTTGCTATTTTACTTGGACTGGAGTGTGTGTTAAGTACAGAGGTAGTTCTCAGGCTGGGAGTGCAACAGTAATGCTCATTCAAAAAAAAGCAGAATACAAATGTTACTAACATAGAAGGAACCCAGTTCTTGTGGGTTTTTTCGGGCTATATGGCCATGTTCTAGAGGCATTTCTCCTGACGTTTCGCCTGCATAGAAGGAACCACCTATCACCATTAGTGCCATAGCCTTTCCCTATGTAAGTCAAGAGAGAAATTCTAAGCCCGCCTCTGGAAAACCCACTAAATAAAATGAAACCACTACACATCAAATGAACTGTTTTCCAAACTTTTTTACCTCCGCAATGTCTTGGAACTTTGTCCTTAGGGAAAGAATGAAAGAAAGAAAGGCAAGAAATCCAAGGCAACTGCTAAGCGTTTACCAAATGCCTGCACAGAAGGGGGCTCCATCCCCAGCTTAGTGCCACAGTGATTTACACACCCTACATGAATTGTGCAACAACATTGATGGAATATTTGTACCAGGAGCTCATCCATGCTGGTCTGACACTTCTCGAGGTTGATCCGCTTAATGGCCACCTTCTCTTTCTTCGGCGTACAATAGGCTGCTTGGACAACGGCTGTGGCTCCGCTCCCTGGGAAGGAAAAGAAACACACAAAACACAAGGTTAGGCAAGAGCTGGGACATTTGAAACACTGGCATTCGGATTTTTATTTCATTTTGATGATTGTCAATACAAATATATCTGCGGACAGCATACCATATATGCTCGAGTATACGCCAAGTTTTTCAGCCCTTTTTAAGGCTGAAAAAGCCCCCTATGGCTTATACTTGAGACCAAGTTATTTATTATTTTACTCTGTTATTGTTATTATTGTTGTTGTTATTATTATTATTGTTTACTCTATTTGTTACTATTATTACATTATTTTACTCTATTATTATTTTATTACACTTATTATTTTGCTCTATTTATAATTACATTTATTATTATTATTATTATTATTATTATTATTATTACATATAACTATGACTTATGACCATTAAACTGGATGTCCCTTGTGGTCTTTTCCAATTCCATGATTCATAGAATCATAGAATCAAAGAGTTGGAAGAGACCTCATGGGCCATCCAGTCCAACCCCCTGCCAAGAAGCAGGAATATTGCATTCAAATCACACTTGACAGATGGCCATCTAGCCTCTGCTTAAAAGCTTCCAAAGAAGGAGCCTCCACCACACTCCGGGGCAGAGAGTTCCACTGCTGAACGGCTCTCACAGTCAGGAAGGTCTTCCTAATGTTCAGATGGAATCTCCTCTCTTGTAGTTTGAAGCCATTGTTCCGCGTCCTAGTCTCCAAGGAAACAGAAAACAAGCTTGCTCCCTCCTCCCTGTGGCTTCCTCTCACATATTTATACATGGCTATCAACTCTCCTCTCAGCCTTCTCTTCTTCAGGCTAAACATGCCCAGCTCCTTAGCCGCTCCTCATAGGGCTTGTTCTCCAGACCCTTGATCATTTTAGTCACCCTCCTCTGGACACATTCCAGCTTGTCAATATCTCTCTTGAATTGTGGTGCCCAGAACTTGGACACAATACATTTTACATAATAAAACTTACTGCAACTTAAAGAAATAGTTTAAAAATATATACACTTTGATATATAATAAGTTGGCAAAAAGTAATATGATTGATGGACACTTCCCAAGTATCTAGGACTGTGTGATGTATCAGCGAATAATGCATGCAGATCTGAGTCGGGTGGCCTTTTGCAGCTGACAGATGGTAACTTTGTCAGCGCCAATTGTTTTTAAGTGCAGACCAAGGTCTTCAGGCACTGCGCCCAGTGTGCCGATCACCACTGAGACCACCTTTACTGGCTTCTGCCAGCATCTTTGCAGTTCTATCTTTAAATCCACATATCATCCTGCACTGAACAAGAGTAGAAAACAATTTTTTATTTTGTAACTATATGACTCCAAAATATACAAGAAAATATCAGTCCTAGCTGCTAGCTGTGATTCTTCCAGGCTGAATGAGCTAGAGCTTCCAGGACTGCCCAAGAAAAAATGTTAATAAAATGCATAGCTGCAATTCCTGAAATGACTACGTTGCTATGGAATTTAAATTGTAAAATTCCTCAGAAGGAGCCGGAAATAGTTATTACTGAGACCAAACTCATAGTAAATGGTATTTGAGAATAGTATTGTGAGAAAGGCGGGACAGAAACAGGACTTTAAAACGTATATGCCAGCAGGATGAATGCGTCTCAACAGACATTATTCCACAGATATATAAACCTCGCTTGCCTAGTTTCCAACAGACCTCACAACCTCTGAAGATGCCTGCCATAGTTGTGGGCAAAATGTCAGGAGAGAATGCTTCTGGAACATGGCCAGACAGGCTGGAAAACTCACAGCAACCTTATGTTGAATTGGTTGAGACTCGATGAGATATTCACTGAAAAACTATAGCAAAAAGTGCAGCAATTTAACAAACTTTTCCCAAGTTTTTAAGATTAGGACCAATGGGGAAATTACATTTATAACCCAGGAACAAAACTCATGTTACTCAAAGCCCAAATGACTAAATCCAAGGCTGTCGTACTTTGGGCATATCACGAAACAACACTATGAAGCTTCTGAATGTCTTTAGCTAAAGACAAACATCTTGAATGCAAAGGACACATATTCATGATTTTCCAAAATCCTTTCGAAAACCAAACTAAACTGGTAAAGGGGTGGACAAGCAAACTGGATAGATGGGAGATGTTCTGGAAACTCAATACAAACTACTCCCTGAAGGAAAAATCCATGTGATACATAAATAAAATATGTGCATCTCCAACACCCGCCCAGAGAGCTTGAAGTTTAGAAAACGCTTAAAGGGACAAGAGGCTGCCTGCAAATTGGCGCTTCGCTCTGGAAGAACACAGCCCTCAAAATTCCCCACTAACAAGAGCAGAGATCAGATGTCTTTATCCTCATCTAAAGATAACTTATAACCGGAGGAAGGGACACAAAGAGGAAAGCATGGAAAGTAAGAGGGAAAGGCAAAGTAAAAGTGCTCGCAAAATAATTTTTTTAAAACTGTAAGAACCACTCGAGAGTGAAATAAGACTGCCTTGGATGGTAACAGACTCTCTTTACTTAGGCGATCCCTCGTTGTCCTAGTATGATGGCCTTCCAAGTATAGTGTCTTGATAGTGGATACAAAAGTGACTGTGGAACGCTATTCCTGATCCGCATGTTCTTCCACAGTGAAGACATCGATTTCCAAGTGGAAGGCGGTCCCGGTAAGGCAGTGGTTCTCAACGTTCCTAATGCCGCGACCCCTTAATACAGTTCCTCATGTTGTGGTGATCCCCAGCCATTCAATTATTTTCGTTGCTACTTCATAATTGTAATTTTGCTACTGTTATGAATCGTTATGTAAATATCTGATCTGCAGGATGTATTCTCATTCACTGGACCAAATTTGGCACAAATACCCAATATGCCCAAATTTGAATACTGGTGGGGTTGGGATGGGAGGATGGGGTTTGGTGGGCGTTGACCTTGAGTTTGGGAGTTGTAGTTCAGCTACATCCAGAGAGCACTGTGGGCTCAAACAATGATGGGTCTGTACCCAACTTGGCACAAATACTCAATATGCCCAAATATGTACACTGGTGAAGTTTGGGGAAAATAGACCTTGACATTTGCGAGTTATAGTTCCTGGGATGTATAGTTCACCTACATTCAAAAAGCATTCTGAACTACACCAACAATGGACTTGAACCAAACTTGGCACACAGTTCTCCCATGACCAACAGAAAATACTGGAAGGGTTTGGTGGGCATTGACCTTGGGTTTTAGAGTTGTAGTTCGCCTACATCCAGAGAGCACTGTGGACTCAAACAATGATGGATCTGGATCAAACTTGGCATGAATATTCAATATGCCCAAATGTGAACACCGGTGAAGCTCAGGGAAAATAGACCTTGATATTGGGGAGTTGTAGTTGCTGGGATTTATAGTTCACCTACTACCAAAGAGCATTCTGAAGCCCACCAACGATAGAATTAGGCCAAACTTCCCACAAAGAACTCCCATGACCAGCAGAAAATACTGTCTGTGACGGTCTTTGGCGACCCCTCTGACACCCCCTCGCGACCCCTTCAGGGGTCCCGACCTCCAGGTTGAGAACCACTGCGGTAAGGGTTGGCTTGATGCATCTTCTTCCTCTTGCCACGTTTCTCCATTTCAGCCTCCATTCGTGCCTCTTCAAATTCTGCAGCACTGCTGGTCATAGCTGACTTCCAGTTAGAGCACTCAAGGGCCAGGGCTTCGCAGTTCTCGGTGTCTATGCCACAGTTTTTAAGTTTAAGCCCATCTTTCAATCTCTTTTCCTGCCCACTAGCATTCTGTTTTCCATTCTTGAGTTAGGAGTATAGTAGCTGCTTAGGAGACTGTGATCGGGCATTTGGACAATGTGGCCAGTCCAGCAGAGTTGATGGCATAGGAGCATCACTTCAATGCTGGTGGTCTTTGCTTATTCCTGCATGCTGACATTTGTCCACTTGTCTTCCCAAGAGATTTGCAGGCTTTTTCGGAGGCAACGTGATGGAAGTCTTCCAGGAGTTGACATCTGTAAACAGTCCACATTTTGCAGGGTTGGGAGGGCAATAACTTTATAAACAAGCACCTTGGTCTCCCTATGGATGTCCTAATCCTCAAACACACTCTGCTTCATTTGGAAAAATGCTGCACTCGCAGAGCTCAGGCGGTGTTGCATTTCAGTGTCAATGTTAACTTTTGTGGAAAAGTGGCTGCCAAGGTAGCGGAAATGGTCAACATTTTCTAACATTGCATCATTAAGCTGTATTTCTAGTATTGCAGAGGGATTGGCTGGTGACTGCTGGAAATGCACTTCGGTTTTCTCGATGTTCAATGAGAGGCCGAGCTTCTCGAGTGCTTCTGCAAAGGTGTTTGGAGTGACTTATAGGTCATCTTCTGAATGCGCAGACTCTCCATCTTTTAAGCAATTTAAATAGAGGTCTGGGCATCTTTCAAGAATGCTTCAGTTGTGCATTCCTGAAGGCAGAGACTCAAAATTCCAACTCTATGTTTCTGTCACCCAAAACAAACCAGTGAAGGGCTTGGCAGTAATATATTGGTGATGTTCCTTCACAGCAGAATGGTCTTTTTAATTACCATTTTGTATTTATTCAATGAAAATGAAACTCTCCATTGTAGATCACTCAAAACTAGAGATGGAATGACACACAGCCTGAGTCAGAACGGAGGATGGGGGAAACAACCCAACCCAGAAATGGGATGGGATGAGAATACCAGTGAGGACCACATCAAAAGCATTATTGAGAGATATTTCATGTCTGAAGTGTTATATTTTATATATGAGATCCTTCGACACAGAAGAAGAATGCAAATGCAAATGTTTTAATAAAAATGTGTATCTTCAAGATGTTCTGAGCTAAGGAAGCTGTTTTTACAAGAAATATTTGTTCAGAAGACGTTTGCCACTGCCTTCCACTGAGGTTCAGAAAGTGTGACGTGACAAAGGTTGAGTGGGCTTATTAACAAATGACTATCCTCATAAATGTAAAGCAAAGTAACTTATTAGGAGCAGTGTGGC